TGCGGGAAGTAATTGAGCCTCATACAAGCATTGACTATGTTTGTAATGAGGACTATGTAGGTTCTTGGGAGAGCTTTGAGAACCGTATTGGTGATGCTATCGTAGCCGGGAGCTTTCCTGGACTTTAAGTTGCTAATTATATTACTTATTTCTGTTGGAGAAGTTGGGTTGAAGTGATTATTACAATTTCTGTCAGCTAGGTGGTTAATGAAATTATCGACTTCTTCATCTGTCTCATCATTATTAGAGGCATGATTGGTGAAAGTCTTTTCTAGATGCTGCGCAAGGGCTTCAGCCATGTCATGTTCAGAATAAGCAATTCCACTACTGGTGTAGAGAGAACCAATATTTCTGTTATTAGTATTCCTTAAGGAATTTCCAATACGCCAGACTGTATTCGGAGAGAAATCCATAGAGTCTAAGAAATCGTCCCAACAATTTGATCTGTACTCTAGGAGGAGGGTCTTGATGTTCCTAATTTTTCTGTTCATATTTCTTTTAACAGTGGGATCGCCTGTTCTTCGCCAGATTTTTGCTGTGCAGTTTTTGTCTTTTATTTTCTCAATGATGTGGTTGGGGAGCTTGTCTTTCTTATAATCTTTGAATTTGGTGGAAACTAAAATAATATAAGCGGTTGATACATTAATGTTAACACAAGCACAAACAGAAGCTTAATAATATCTAAAGAACAAGAGGATCATGAGCTATATTAACATCACGTGATTAACATAGTTGACGTGTTTGACGCCCGTGTGTCTTGGCATTTTTAGGGTTGCCAGAAATAAGTAAGAAAAAACATTTTATTTATTTATTCTCAAATGCCTGATTAATTTACAACCGTATCGAAACACACTTTATTTACCAATATTTTCAGGACAGCTCCAAAATCACGTTTTCAGTCGTTGAACTGTTATAAACAAGCTGACACGTTCAGCGACACAGCCTTCACACTGTCAGGCAATAACGATGGAGACAGCTTCACCGCAAAGCACCAGAGTACAGCTTCCGACTCTGTTTGGTCGTTCTCGGAACTCCACGTACTCTCGAGACTCTCCATGTAATGCACTCGACGATACACAAGAGTATAGCTCTCGACTCAGCACAGTTACTAATTCGATGCACTAATTCGCGATGCACTAAAAGACTCTCTCGATGCACTCGACGACCAACTCAGCACTAGACTTCGAGACACTCGCTCAATGACTATCAGCTCGCTAGACAAGGCACATACACTGACTGCGGACCAGCAGGGCTTATATAGCTTTTGGCTTGTGTTCGGGAACATTCTGGGATAAACCGGTAAGAATTCGTTCCAAAAGGTTCTCCAACCGTCCATGGTAAATCGCCAATTTTGTCGCCAAATGGGCGATTTCTCGCCAAATGTGGCAACCCTGCCTTCCTTTGCCATTTTAGGGCAACCCTAAAACTGCTCTGCGGGGAAGCTATCTTACCGCGCCTGTACATTTCGTAACAATATATTAAATACATAAAATATATTAATTGCATAAAATAGCAAATAAATTTCATGATGTGAACAATTTGTACCAGAAGTTGCCACTCACTGTTTTCTTCTCACCTCAGTTGATCATTTGGAAGGTTTTTAAGAACCAGCAAAGATTTTTCAAAATGTTTTTACATTCTGCTAAAGGTTTCTCCATTTAGCATTATCTTAACTCCTATTACTTTTTCCCATTTAGCATTATCAGATACCACCCATTTGTCTTAAAGCATTTTTGACTCAATGGTATAACAACAATGGTATAATAAACTGAATGGTGTCAATTTATTAAGTCTGCTTGGAGAATAACAATTATAAACAGAATCCTTTGTGTGCAGTTATTCTACTACTAGGAACAATTATTCCATATATGAAAAAAAATACAGTTCTCCAATCAGTTTCGATATGAAGAAAAAAATGATGATACATCATGTAATGATAACTTCATCCGAAGATGCTGAATAACTTCTATAAAATGGTCACAAAATTTTCACGCTGAGAAAAATTATTACCATCTTCCATAATTAGTATTCATCAGCAGTCAAGTGGATAAGATTAAAAAACACTAATAGTTTGAAAACTTATTGCGAGTCAAAGAAGGTCTTACTGTAGAAACACTTTTCATCGAGCTTAAAGCCTGCTTAGTTTCACCTCTATTAATACTAATAGTCTTCATAATAACTATACCTTATTACTATTAGAAATGCCATTACGCAGTTTTCATGTTAAAACCATCTCAATGGAAATCCTAAAATAATTTATTTATATTTCATGTTTAATGTAAAATTTAATGTTCGTTAAAGTACGGTTACAACATGCAAGACGTTTTTCCCTGGAATAAGTAATAAGCAAACAAAAAGAACATGAGGTTTGCAACACACGACAAACTGTGAAAAGAACGCGTGCAAACTTCGTACATTTCATCACTGAAGATATCGTAACAAACTTTTTGTACCACATTTTTAATTTTGCAAAAACCTAATAATTACTGATACTAAGATGGAGATCATCAGACCAGATAAGCTAAGCAAACTGTGTCCAAAATCACATTTGTTAGGATATAAACCTAACTATCAGTGTTCAGCAGTCTATGAATTGCATTTACATTATAAAGATCTTCCCATTTTACATTCCTCATGTTATGCTATTGACATTTTTTCTAAAAATCTATTTGTTACATGCATTAATCCTTCACACATCCTTCTTATTTAACATATTTATGTACTTTTCTTATGTGTTGAAATTGGGAAAGAATTCCAGATTTTATTAGATAAACAAAACAATTTAATAAAAATTTCATATTAACCTTTTCAAAAATACAGTATATTTGCGATTTTTACTATCAATTTATTCAACGTGTTACATTTCTTTAAAAACAAATACCACACAAAAATGCAATGCATTTTAGAAAAAGTTCAATCAAATTATAATTTGTTAGTATCAATCAAATTATAATTTTTTAGTATTTAGGAATCTTCTAATATATATATACATAAGCATGTGGCTTTGTTGGCTAAATTTGGGTACCTAATAAATACATACATATATATCATCCGACAAGTTGGAGGGCAATGGAAGCGCTACGGGGTTTGCAAGCCCTTTTCGAGTTTCCTCGTCACCAAAGAAGACAGCTTTGTTCCAGGTCTGATTTTTATAATTTTTTCTCTAAAAGTCTTTCTAGGTCTTGGCAAGACCCATGCTGCTTGTCGTCTTATTTATTATTTTTTCCTTTTTGATTTAAATATAATTAACGGTTCCTTTGAAAAGTTTTAATTCTTTAAGCTCGCAGGTCCAACCCATAAGTTCTTGTATATTTTGACTAATAGCATAATGCTACTTATTTATTTTTTTTCTGTACATCGGAATTGCCTTTCCATTTTTTACACCTTAGTGTGTCAATATATGCGGACGCGTCCGGAAATTGGAACGGAGAATTGAGACTAAAGTTTTTTGACATAGTTTATTTAATTCATTAAAAATTTGTCGCGCAAAGTTTCAATTGTCTGTTTCGGCGAAACGCGTAATGGAGTTAGCTTGGTTCGAAATTCATTTAAAAAATTTCCCTTGAAAAGCCAAAATGAATTGGTCTAATTAACCATTTACCGCTTCTTAATTTTAATATATTTTTTATATTTTACCTTGATCAATTGATTAGTATTTTACTGTGTTCTATAATCTACATTTTTTTCGTTTAGCATATAGCCTACTATTTTTATTTTACCTCGTTCAATTGATATTTTTTTACTGTGTTAAATATTACCTAATTTGTTTAGCATATAGCTTTTTTATTAATTTGTAAATATTCAAATATTTTTCCTCCTCTTTCACACATTTCATAGCAACCAAATATGCTTATGTTGGAGTTTTCACGGAGCCACAGTTTTTGGTAACTTTTTGGCGTGCACACTAAAATTTACCTTCTAACTTCCTTAATTTTGCAGCACAATGCGCAAAATTTTGACCAAAATTGGTCTTTTTTCGTTTGTTCTTACAACCTTACTTATAATTATATATATATATAAAGAAAGAACAAAGCAACACATCTTCTGCATAGGAAAACTTGAGAAAGCCTTTCTCATGTGCATTTTTTACTTGGTTATCAAAAATACAGGGCAAAAAGTAATTGCCGTCCAAAGCAAACAGTGCATATGTTTGGGGAAAACCGCACTGCATGTGCAAATTAAAAATGAGATGTTAAAAGTTAATTTTTTAGTTGTAAAAAATTTACTTACATCCGTAATATTAGGGGTCGATTTCTTATGCGCAGCTGTCACGAATCTTAATTTCCAGAATTCTACGTTTCAGGTGCACATGGACCCCGTGGAAGAAGAGGAAGGTTCTACGCTGGAAATGGGCTTAGACCACCTGAAGCTTGAAGAGAAGGAAAAGATTGAAAAGTTGGTAAGAAAATTTAATTATTTGTTTAATGATAAACCTGGCTTCTGCCAAGTAGTAAATCATGCTATTGATACAGGGAATGCCCCTCCGGTCCGGTCGAAACCATATCGATTTGATAAATTCGAGGAACAGATTCTGGAACATCATATAAAAACAATGTCAGAAAATAAAATCATTGTGCCAAGAACTAGTCCATAACCAATTCCGGTGGTCCTTTTCAGGAAGAAAAATGGGCTACCGCCCGAGCACACGGACGCGTATGGGTTTGCATTTGATTATCGCAAACTTAACAGTATAACGAAGTATCCTACATATCCCCTACCAATAATTGATGAAATCATCAGGAAAATTCGTTCGACTAAGTTTATGACAACCTTAGACTTAACTTCTGATTATTTTCAAATCGCCGTAAAATCTGAAGATGTTGAAAAGACTGCGTTCATTACAAAGTCAAGCGTCTATGCCTTTTTAAGAATGCCGTTTGGTTTAAGCCGAGCGCCGGCTACTTTTCAAAAAGCAATGGACATAGTTTTAAGGCCAATCATTTATCTTGATGATATAATAGTCACCAGCGAAACATTGGACGAACATGTAAAACGTTTGAAAGAAGTTTTTGCATTACTTAACGAGGCCGGTTTCAAAATAAATGCAAGAAAGTGCAAGTTCGCGGCCAAGGAGTTGCGGTACCTTTGGTACAAGATTTTAAATAAAGGCACAGAGACCGATAATTCCAAAATATTAGCGATTAAAAGTTATCCTCCCCCAAACACGACTAAGAAATTATCTTCGTTTTGGGGCTTATGTTCCTATTACAAAATGTTCATTAAAGTCTTCGCCAAAATCGCGGAACCTCTTTTAGTGCTGAAAAGAAAGGAAACTAGATTTTCTTGGACAGCCAAGGCGAACACCGCTTTTGAACAACTAAAAACTGCCCTAATTAATAACCCCAGTCCTTAAATTCCCAGAAGGCGAAGAATACCTAGAGATTGCTGCAGATGCATCCGATTATGCAGTTGGAGCGGTGCTTTCCCAGAATGTGCAACCTATAGCCTTCTTTTCGAAAGCGCTGCATTCTATCCAAAGGAACTATTAAACAACAGAGGGAGAAACGCTCGCTGTTTTATTAGCGGTTCAGAAATTTCGCGTCAACTTCGGAAGTTCTCCGATAACAGTATACTCGGACCATGCAGCAGTCGGTCACTTGTATTCGGGGAAAAATTTATCGCCTCGCCTGTTACAGTGGGCATTAAAGGTATAAGAATTTAATTTAGTTATAAAACACATGCCGGGAAAATAAAATTTAGTTGCCGATGCCCTTTCAAGGATAAAAGTCGATGAGGAGGGGAATACTGTTAGGTGCAGAGCCGGAACTTTGAATTTTCTGATGTGGGGCAAAAGCTAAAACTGCGGCCCTCACCCATCATCCTTTAAGTTTCCCTAAAAAGTTTTAATTTCTTTAATAAATACAGAAATAGGTTTGGTTTGAGGTAAAAACCTAAGCTCCATTTTATACTAAATTCTTAACGTGCCATTTTTTTTTTGGGGGGGGGGAGCTATAAAGGACAAATACGTAGCAAAGTTACATAATTAGAAAATCGTCCCCTCCTAGGAGAATCGCCTTTCTAGTGAGCTTACTTTCGGATTCAAGCCTAATCCTAACTCTAATCATGAGTTCTTCTAACCCTCCAGTCCTCGCCACCATTCTTATATGAATATGGCAAAGACAGGAGGGCTACCTGCTTAAAGGAGAGGTGCTTTTGTGGAGGAACCTTTTAGGCTCGTATTCACATTACACATGAGGAAATCCACTAAAAAAACCATGCAGCTAGCTCGTTCTTTTGAGTTTGAACCCAAGCTAGGTCGAACTACCAGTATTCAGCGGTCTTAATCACTCGGCCACTGCTCAGGATATTTGTTTGGTTATTTACTATGTGTTTCGCCATTAGGCACTGCATGGAAAGGGAGGAATGCCTTGTGAAAAATTTTTTTAAGGAGACTGACTCGTATCTGCTTAGAGGAGAGGTGCTTTCGTGGAGGAATTTTTTAAAGGAAACTGGCTCGTATTCATGTTACACATGAGGAAATCCACGAAAACAAACCAGGTAACCAGCCCGTTCGCCTGGGTTTGAACCCAGAAAAGGTCGAACTGCCAGTATACAGCCGTCTTAATCACTCGGCCACTGTTGAGGACATTTGTCTGATTATTTACTGTGTTTCGCCATTAGGCTCTGCATAGAAAAGGAAGAATATCTCGTGGAAAAACCTTTGTAAGGGAAACTGGCTTATATCTATGTTACACACGGGGAAAATCACGGAAGTGCTCATACAACCAGCCCATTCACCTATACTTGACGCTCGGACCGGACTACTAGTGCTCAGCGGCTTTTATTGCTCAGCCACTAATGGTACCATTGCATACAAAATATGGGCTATTGCCGAAAGAAAGTATTCTGAAACGATTATACAGAATATGGGCTATTACTGAGAGTATTCGTGCTTCCTGTCTTGTTTTTCATACTTCCTATTTCATAAGTAATTTTAAGTTCTTACCTGCCTTAACGCTACTAAAATATCACGGTATTAGTAACGAAAATTAAAATTTTACTCTGTAAGCCTTTTGTTCTGCAAATAAGTGCATGGAATCGTCATAATTTGATCTGCGGTTTGATTTTTCAGTTGCCATAATCGCGAGATTTGATAAACGCTCTTGGCTCACTGATGATCGTAGATATTTTTAAAATTTTTAATTTGCTGAAACTTCGATCTAAACAGGTTGAGGTGTTAGTGATTCGTCCTCAAACAGTTCATCGGATTGCTTTTTGTGCTTTGGAATTCTTTATTTGTCAGAATAGACTCAACTGCAATTTTTTCGGCTACTGTTTTAGACTCTTGTATCCAATATTCCACAGGATTTTTCTCTCATTTTTTATAATTCCTCAGTTTTGGTCAGTTCTTTCGTTAACTACACAGAATGCGGAAGAGAAATTCCTTTTGAATTTCTATATTTACTCCATTGAATTCTGGAAAAATATTAGCTCAAATTTTCAGGTTGATGGTAAACTCAAAATTTTCACAGCATGTACCAGATGTTCTACCTCGTGCTTTGATTCCGCATCAAGAGAAATATCTTCAATTTCTTTTAAATATTTGAATATTTGCGGTAAATTCATTAGAAGCACTTTCCCAGCCACACATTTTTCCGACCATCTCGTCTGGCTGCCTCCTTTTAAGTTGTATTTTGTACATTTTTTCATAATATACTGTCGTGTAGTGCATCCCACAAAAAAAGCGAAGTATTTTCTAAGTAATTCCAAACAGATTAACTGCTTCCCGGCACGAAGAAGCAGAATGCATACTGACAAAATACGAGGAGTAAGCCAAACATGGCACAAATTCCTCCAGCTTATTCATTTCTATAATTCTAGCTTGTACTGTTTTAGAAATGCCAGCCATATTAGACCCATTGTCGTAAGACTGACAACGACATTGTCCAATATCTAAACCATCAAGTGTCAATTAAGACACTAATCTTCTACAGTGCGTTCAGAAATACATTCTCCTATCTTCCCACAAACTTCTATGAAATCAATTAAATTTTCCTTTATTTCACACAATCACCACACGTTTTTACATATTGATTCACCTGGTTTATTTTTTTCTGTATGAGACACATATGGGGTAAATATGATCGCTTTTCCTTTCTTAGGTGAATTGACTTGTACTTAAGAGTTGAATTATGTTTGGCAAGCGGAGAGATTAAATTCAGAAAATTTCCTTCGCTAGGTCGAGGACACTTTGTGAACAGGCTACTTGGGATTTCATCAGACCCAAGCAAAGAACGACAGTTTATTGAGCGATATAATACCGCATCCATGACTATACAGAATTTTTCTTTCTCTGTATGAATGAGTCGCTCAGTGTCGTGATCGATGCCTAATTTTTTTTTTTTTCCAATTAATGAATCTTGTTGTATGGTGTAACGGCAGCACCATGTTTCTGATAAATCTTGCAGGGCGTACAAAAAATTGTATTCTTATTTTTAGAATATGTAAACCAAGATCTAAGCTTTTCATTATTTACTAATGTTCTGTAGTACATGTCAAATGTCTGCCATGACGTTCAATGGGATTGAGGTTTACGTTTTACCGGCTAACGATACTGATTGACTGCTTAAGAAAGATTTTTGAGACCGTTCATTTTTTTCTATGACCAGCTAATTGCATGCGTCCAACAAATCTAAAATGTTTAGTTTTTCGTCTTTCTGCTGCCCGCCCCCATCTAAATGAAGAGATCTTTATATCATGGTTTCATGTCCTTCAGCTATTCGTTTGATGTCGATGAAGAAGGTTGTTCTTCCAAATGCTGACTTGTAGATTGTTTGGGGATGATATATGAAGTCATGTTTGGTCGTGCAAATTGCAAGAAATATTAATTCCCTCTAGAATATCAGCATAATCGGAATTGCGGCAGGGTCTGACGGTTTACTTCTTCCGTGAAGTTACTATTTTTTCATCTTAGCTGAAATTTGTTTTCTCTGTTTGGCCTTATCTTTGGTTCGTTTTCTGTATTCCGCTTTTCTCCCTCTCGACGCGCAGGTGGTTTCTTTTAATCTCAATGAAATTCACTATGAATTGCCTTAATAAGGGTAACTAAGAATTGGCATAATTACACTGAACAGTTCTAAATAAATGGTAGTGTCTCACTAAATATAGTGCGGGCTATTAAAACTATTAAAAGCACGCATATCTTAAAAAAAAAAAGTACAGAAGAGACTTGAAAACTAAAATAATATTAATAATAATAATAATAATAAATCTAGCTTTAAAATCCAAAATGCGCTACACCGTTCCGAGTCAAATTAAAGTTGAGCCTAAGTTGCCTACTGGCTGCAAAAAAATCTAAATGCCTTGCTTCAGCTTGAAGACATAATGACTGTGTCTTGTATATACTCGATGAATATTAATTTGAATTATTTCATTTGTCCAGGATGGCCCAAGGTTAATTTTTTGGGTTAGCTCTTAAAAAATAGTTACAATGCTTCTCCATTTCCCAGTAGACCTTGCTATGAGAATCAGGTGATTTCTTCAACAATATATCGTTCTATTTCTTATTTGAATATACCCAGCTCAGACAGCAAATGATACATGGACTCCAGATGTTACTGATAGGGACAGTCTGATTCTATCAGTGACGCCTGGAGTCCCTCCATTGGCCTTTTTATGATCTTGTATTTATAGTTGTAATCGGCTGTATTTTAACTCATGTTCCTTTAAAAGGGTTCTTAGTATTTAATTGCAAATCTTCTTAAAAGAGGTTTTAAAACTTGGCCTTAAAACTATTAACATTGTACTAAAATTAGAGAGATGTTTTAGCGAACAACATACCAAACGATCCAGAGTTATATTTGAATTTGCCGCCCTCAAAAGTTGCCGCACGGGGCAAGAACCCCGGCTTGTCCCCCGCTAGATCCGGGACTGGTTAGGTGTGCTATGCTCACTTCAAAAGTGATCGAGTCCCGTGAATCAATAGTTGAAGAATTAAGAAAGGATCCGGAATTCAAAGATATTTACGCATATCTCGAAGACCCCGAAAAGTTTGAATATATAGAATTAGGAGCTATTCGCAATAAAGCGCAGCATTACGAAATAATCAACAAACTGTTATTCTATACGAAAGTAACAAATGATAAGCA